TTTGTCAATTTTACTAATCCTTTCGAAGAACCAGCTTCTTTCCCTGTTGATTCTTTACCTATATTTTTCTCTTTTCAATCTAATTTCTTTCTGCTGTAATCTTTATTTTCTTTCTTCTGTTGATTTTAGGTTTACCTTGCTATTCTGTTTCTAATTGTTGGAGATGTGCTAGTGTGTTGATTTTGGTTCTTCTTTTTGGATATGTATATTTATTGCAATAAATTGTCCTCTCAGAACTGCTTTTGCTGTGTTCCAAAGATTTTGGTATGTTATGTTTTCCTTTCATTTTGTTTCTAGAAACTCTGTGAATTCACCTTTTATTTGTTCTACTACCCAGTAACTTTTAAGCTGGGTGTTATTCAGTTTCCATGTATTTGACGTTTTTTCCTTGGTCTTCCTATTGTTGATTTCTAATTTGATAGCATTGTGGTCTGAGAAAATACTTTGTAGTATTTTGATGTTTGTAAATTTACGGAGGCTTGCTTTGTGGCCTAACACAGTGTCTATTCCGAAAAATGTTCCATGTGCACTGGAAAAGAATGTATATTGAGCTGTTGTTGGCCTGGTTGTGTTTAGTTCCTCTGTGTCTTTGTCTAGTTTCTTTCTGGTTGCTCTATAATTTTTCCAAAGTGATATACTAAAATCTCCCACTATCATTGTAGATTTGTCTATTTCTTTCTTTAAATCTATTAGAGTTTAATTTATATATTTTGGAGCTCTTTCACTGGGAGCATAGACATTTATTACAGTTATATCATTTTGTTCAACTTTAATCATGACATAATATCCATCTTTACCTATGATTATTTTATCAGAGATTAGCATTGCTACTCCTGCTTGTTTTCAATTAGAACTATTTTGGTATATATTTTTCCATCATTTAATTTTTAATCTGTTTTTGTCTTTGTGTGCACGGTGTGTCTCTTGCAGACAGCATATTGAAGGATCCTGTTTTCTTATCCATTCTGCCACTCTCCGTCTCTTAACTGGTGCATTTAATCCATTGACATTCAGTGTAATTATCAATAGGTATGAATCAATTTCTGTCGTTATGTTTGTTTTTTTTGTGATGTAGCTGGTTTCTTTGCTTTACATGCCTTCCTGTGCTGAGCTCATGTTTTTTGTGTTCTTGTCAGTTTCTTCAACGTTTTAATGTTCCCATTTTCCTCTTGGATTTTCATTTTCTTAATATGTTGTAAACTATTCATTTTCTTTGAGCTAATATTCTATAAACTTTTTCCTTCACTTAAAACAGTCTATTTTATCTTGCAATCTACCTGACCATCATCACCTGGATTTCTGTTCCTATGTTTTCCCCTTCTTTCACATTTTAATTGTTTTGATCATAGACGGATTTCCCAGATCTTCTGAATTCATTCTTGTAGTTTTGTTCTGTTCTGGACTCTTCCATCTGTCAACTGAGTTCTAGATGGTGCTGCCATGTACGTCAATCTCTGGTTGTTGTCTAGTCTTGTTGGTTCTCTGTCCAAGGAACCCTTTAGGATGTTTTGAAGCACTGAGTTGGCTTTGACAAAGTCCCTTAGCTTCTGTTTTCCTGGAATGTTTTGATTACACGGTTGTATTTTATTGACAACTTTGCCGGGTAAATGATTCTTTGTTGGCAGTTTTTTTCTTTCAGGGTTTTATATATGTCTCCCCATTTCTGTCTTGCCTTCGTGGTTTCTGCGGAGAGATCAGAGCTTAATCTGACTTGCTTGCCTTTTTAAGTAACACTTCACTTTTCCCTAGCTGCTTTCAGGATTCTCTCCTTGTCTTTGATTTTGGAGAGCTTGATTATGATATGTCTTGGTGATTTTCTTTGGGGGGGGGGCGGTGTCTATCCTTCCTGGGGTCGTTTGAGCTTCTTAAATACTTATCTTTTTGTTTTTCAGGATGTTAGGGAAATTTTTCTTCCAGAAGCTCTTCAGCTATCTCCTCTGTGGTCTTGTGTGATTCTTCCTGCTCCAGAATTCCAGTAATTCTCAAGTTATTCCTCTTCACACTACCCCACAAGTATCTTAGACTTTCTTCAGATTTTTAAAATCCTTTTTTCTGCTTGCTCTTCTCTTAGCAGTATTAACAGATTTGTCTTTCAGCTTGCTGGTTCTGGCTTCCATCTCTTCAGTTCTAGTCCTTTGCCCTTTCAGTGTATTGTCCATGTGACATTTGATTATTAATCATTTGGATCTCTTTTTTCAGGTTTTGAATTGTATCCAATGCTATATCTGTAATATTTGTTTGTTCCTAAAACACTTTCCTGACTTCTTCATTTTTCTCAACCACTCTGGCGCAGTTGGATGCACCTCAATATCATTCTCCTGAATTTCTTCTCAGACAGTTCTCCAAAGCCTGCCCTCCTTCCAATGGAAAGTCTAGGTCTACTTCCAGCTCATTTGTCTCAGTTACTCTATCTTGTTTCTGGACATGTGCCAATATCTTCAGTTGTTTCTTGGCATTTTCAATTATTAGATGAATGTATGTTGGTGTATTATTATAATTTCTGATTGCTTCCAGGTAGATGTCATCAAGAGATGGGCTTCCATTTTCACTTTTCTTATTACTAAACTCAGAGGTTCTGTATCTAGTGTGTTGCAGCTAGTATTGGTTCTTGCCTGGATGGTGGGATTTTATAGGGTGTAATTGTAGCTTGGCTATATGACTGCAATTGCTGTCTCTTCTTGGATAACACAGGGAGGGAAAGAGCTCCCCAAAGGCAAAAGAGGGATCAAACACAAATCAACAACAGCAAAAGAAATGGACTTTATACTACAGTCTATAATTGTAAAAACAAAACCTGTAGGAAAATATGAGTATGACTTTAACACCCAAGAGGGCTTCTTGCCTTCAAGGCTGCCTGAGAAACTTCAAGATGTTACTCTTGCTCCTTATGATGTAACTCAAGATTTAATTTTTGGCTTGTTTCCTTTTTAGTCTGTCTCTCTCACCCTACACAGCCCTGTTCAGGTATTTCTCCGAGTGAGAAATAGCTCAGGTTCAGTTCAAGTTGTCCTGGGAGACTGCTCAATTTTAAGCAGTTCTTGTTGTCTCTTCCCCCTTAGATTCTGTGCACAATGGTCTTTGCTGAACAGATTTGTGTGCATATGTAGTAGCACCCTTCAGGGGTGGGGGAGTGTTCATTTGCTCAGGCACCCCTTCTAGTCACCAGAGTGGAGGTGCGCAGACAAAGACAAATGAACAGGAAAAAATGTTCACACATTTATCTCTGAGGATCCGTCAGACTCCTTTGAATCTTCACCCACTCTGTCATGCCCAAGATGGGTGCTCTGGAACTCATTGGCAGTCACAGATCAGAAAACACTGCCTTTCTTGCTTCTGCTACAAATTCCATTAGCAGTACACCTTAAATCTTTATAAATATTCCTTTATATGTAGTTCAAAGTTATGGGACCGTCACCTAAACCTACTTCATTCAGTATTGTATTATTTCTGGCTGAGGTCTGAACTGCACTTCCCCTAATCCACCATTAAGCCTACTGGCCTATATAATTTTATGATAAAATTGAAAACATAGCAGTCCATCTACCAAATCAAAATTATTAAACATATTTAAGAGAGAGTGTGTGTGATCCCATATGATGAGTTTGGAACATCCTTTCTGAACAATAACATCAAAATCTAAAGAGAACAAGGACATAAATATAAGAGAATACATAGAGAGTACAGCTGTGGAAACTTTTTAGATATAATCAAACACCTTGTAGGACTGAGTTACTGGGCTTGAAGGTTAAGGGCCATAGTTTCAGGGGATATTTACAATTAGCATAACATAGTACATAAAGACAATGTTGTACATCATAGTTTAGTATAGAGGCATCTGGGATCTTAAAAGTTTTGTGAATGGCCATCAAAGATCCAATTGTTGGTTTCTTCCTACTGGAAGCAAAAAGGAGTGAAGAAAACAAAGAACTCAGGGAAGCTATCAGCCTAAAGAACTAACAGGCCACATGAACCACAGCCTCCTCTATCCTGAGATGTGAACTAGATGGTGTCTGGCTATCACAACTGCTCTGACACAAGAGAAATCCTATACAGGGTTGCTATGAGTCAGAACCAACTCTATGGCACTTAACAACAGCATCATACAGCCAAAACTAGCAGTAGTTTTTTGAAGTATTACTTACAGGAAATTTGAAACTAGGACAAAGGTTCCATTGAAATTTCAGACTTTAGACTATTAGCCCTATATTAAGACTCTTCCAAAGTGACTTGGAATCAGGACATCAATTATTGATTGATCCATACATGTTAGGAGTCCTGGTGTGGTGCCACAGGATAAATGCTGGACTGCAAGGTTGGTGGATCAAACTTACCAGCTGCTCCTTGGAAACCCTATACAGGGTCGCTTTGCATTGGAACCAACTTGATGGCACTTAACAACAACAACATATGTGTTAATTGCTGATGTATAATGTAAAGAATTAGAAACAATAATAATGAGAAAAATATATCAACATAAACATCATGTACAGTACCTTTTGATACACAATGGAGCATACAAGATCCTTGACAGCAGATAAAGACAGTTCCTGGGCTTCAATGGTCACACTCTCCCGTGTAAGGCCAATTTGCAGTAGAAATGAAATTGTATGCACTGAGCCTCTGGAGTTGGTGAGCGACTGTGTACTGAAGCTCACATTGGATAGTCGGGCATAAAGTCCAGTCTTAGGACTTGAACATGGAGAAAGAGTTGGAAGCACAGCAGGAAGAATTGCAGATAATACAGACTTCTGGGCTGATGGAGGGGAATTGTTTGCGGACATCTGCCTTTCTTTAATCTTATACAACAGCAATCAATTTAAAAAAAATAATAATTACGACGATGCTTTCAAAATTACAATGGTAAAAATAGTGACTGTACTTTTGCAAACAGTTAAAAGCTTCTGTATTTCCTTTTTAAAGTCACTCATGCCAATGACTGCAAGTTCTCCAACTATGAGTTGGATACACAAGAGGTTTTACTTTCCTTAATATTGGTCCCATCAAAAAAAAAGTCTTGTCTTTAGGAGCACAACCAGCATTTGCAAAGGGTTTAACATCACTGAGTTATCCTCTTCAAGTTGACTGCTCATTTACTAAGCATCTTCATCTATTTTCTTTGAATTCTGTTCTTGTCTCTCTCCTTTATTTTCATAAAATACATACTGAGTACAAGTTGTTTTTCTCTCAAGAAGAAATTCCCTTGGTTTTAAAAATAGTTAAGTACATAGGATTAATCTATTCAGTACTTATGCTTTAGTTCACTGATTTGATGGGATGTCCAAAACTTAAATCACCTCAAATATTTCCATTTTGGAGTACAAATTTTTCTATAATAAAGTCCAAAGATTTTAAACGTGTATTTGAAAGATGGGTCCACTGAGAAATGCTGATGATTTCTGAAATGTAGTCAGCCTGGAGGAATTAAAAAAAAAAAAAAAAAGTGTTACTGTTTTATATGAACTGGACATTATTTTTTAAATATAAGACTCCTCTAATTCTTAATGATAAATTTTTGTCTTATTATGATGTTTATAATTCATAGTAAATTCTAATTGGTGGTAGTTTTCTGTCTAGTTATTTATGGCTACTTTTACCATACCTGTTATTTCAGGGAGCGTCTCATGCTTAAAAAATGCTCCTACCACCCTTCACCGTCACCCTGAAGCATAATGATCAAACAGTTATTGCACAATTATGCAACTGAGTTACGAAAAATATAAAGAAAAACAGAAAAGATTAAAAAAAAAAACAAATAGTTAACACTGTCATAGAAACAAAATATGTACTACCCAGTCATACAAAAGATATATAATGTGGTTCTAATATAGACAAAAGCATTCTTTCCTATATTAAGAGCCTAATTCTACAAAACATGACTCCACACTTACTTGCTTTGTTGACAAATTCCTTTCAGAAGATTAACAAAGCAGGAGGTGATGTAGTTATATGACAAGCAGAAACTATGAAAATTGACGTACTTATGACAGGAGTATAGGTATCTTATTAATCTAGTGCTGCTAAAACAGAAATACCAGAAGTGGATGGTTTTAACAAACAGAAATATATTTTCTTGCAATTTATGAAGTTAGAAGTCTGAAATCAGGGTGCCAGTATTAGGGAAAACCTTTCTATGTTGGCCTAAAGGAAGGCTTCAGCTTCTACTTCCTGGTTCCTTGAAGATCTTCATGTCTTGGCGTCTACCATACTGTATCTCTGGCCTGCTTGTTTGTTTAATCTTTTTTATACCTCAAAGAGACTGATTTATGCTATTTCCTACACTAATCCTGCCTATTAACATTCCGAAGAAAACCTATTTCCAAATGGTATAATACCACAGGCATAGCAGCTACTGGAGTCCTGCTGTTGTGCTGTAGGTTAATTCACTGGACTTCAAAGTTGGTTTGATCTACATGGTCGGTTGAGTTCAACCTCACCAGTTGCTCCTCGGAAACCCTGTACAGGGTTGCTATGGGTCAGAATCAACTTGATAGCACTTAATAACAATTTGGGGGGAACACAATTCAATCTTTAACATTCCACCCTCTGTTACCCCAATTTCATGTCCTTGCCACATGTAAAACACATTCACCTCTTAGCATTATCCTGAAACTCCAACTGTAAAATTGCATCTTCTAAATCATTTAAATCAAATATGGATGAGATTCGGTGTATTCAATCCTGGGGCAAAATTCTTCATCTGTGAAATCTAAACTACAAATTATCTGTTTCCAAAGTACAATGAACAAGCACAAGGTAGACCTTTCCATTACACGATGGAGAACATGGAGAGAAATTTGGGATAACAGGTATTAATCAAGTCAAAAATCCTGCAGAACAAATGACATTAGCTCTTAACACCTGAAAACAATCCTGAGTTCTCTGAGACCATCTGTGTAATGGCCTGGCCTCTACCTACACTCTGGGTGTTAGCCATGCTTTCTGAAATGTAGGTGGAGGCCCTTCAGTTCTGGGCATCAGTTCACATTCCAAGCACACTAGGTTGACATTTTTTCTCCCTCTGCTTGAGGCAGACCTATTCTCCTAGTCCATCTAAGTGGCAATCCTACCATCTTGGAGCCAGCCGGCTTTGTTCTTCTTCCCCTCAGGCACAGCAGCCCTGCCCCTTCAGTACCGGGCAGTAGCTTCATCCTTTCTGGAACTGTGAACAGTAGCCCCACACTCCACCAACAACGCTCTCACTCTTGGAAACCTAGGAGGCTATGGCCTTGCTCTTTCAAATCCAAGCAACCATATATGCTACTGTATAGTAATACAAGTTACAAGAAGAATCCACAATTTCTTGGTCCCTTTAATACCTTGCTTAGAAATCTCATCAGCCAGTTATCCAAGTTCATCATTAAACAAATTGTGCCTCCCACCACACATTGGAACATAATGCATAAAATAGCTTCACTTTTACTATATTATTCAATCCCATACTCATCACTTTCTATTAAAGTCTCATCAGAAGCACATTTAATGCCCACAATTCTAGCAAGATGGTGTTGCTGGCACCATATTATTCTGTAAGTCAATAGAGACTTTCTCTATATTTCCCTCACTTCCTCTGAGTCCTCCCGAGAATTCTTTGACATCCAAAATTCTACCAACAATATCTTCAAGGCAATCTAGGCTTTTACTATTGTTATTAAATGCCAGTTCTGACTCATAGCGATCCTGTATAGGGTTTCCAAAGAGCAACTGGTGGGTCTGAAATGCCAACCTTGTGATTAGCAGTCTAGTGCTGATCCTACAGCATCCTACCAGCAGTAGTAGATACCTTAAAACTCTTTCAGCATCTACCCATCACCCAATTTCAAATTTGCTTCCACATTTTAGATACCTGTTTGTGCACTTCTCCATTTTCCCAGTAAATTTGGTCTTAATTATCAAAGTAGGTGGCTAGAAAAAACAGAAACGTATTTTCTCACAATTTAAGAGGCTAGAAGTCAGAATTCAGAGTGCCAAGTCTAAAAGAAGGTTTTCTATCTCTACTGGCTCTAGAGGAAGGTCCTTGTCTCCAGTTTCTGCCTCCTAGTTCCCTGAAGATCTCTGGATGTCTTGGCATCAATTGCCCCATCTCTGCTCTGCTCACTTGTTTAATTTCTTTCTTTTTTAAAAAAGTTTTTATTGTGAGTTGAGTGATAGTTTACAAGGAGGGACATTGGTTTTACACTCATCTTATTGTATTTTGTTTCATTGTAATAATTACAATATCCTCCACGCATCATCATTCAACAGTATTTGCTTCTATTTACTCTGTTTATTTGTTTGTTGGATGTACACAAAAACACTCAGGAATATATAATCATTTAAACAACCAAAGAGCACAGTCTGCAAGCCTGCCTCCTGGCTGCCAGCACACAGCCTTTCTCTTTCCATGAGTCTGGAGTTCTCAGCTACTCTATCTCTCCATGTCCTCATCTGTGCCTCTATCTCTGGTGTTACTGCTTTTCTGGATAGGGTCCCACATACTGTTCATGCTCTTCTCCTTTGATGGTCCTAGGGTCCTCTGTTCCTGGACTGTAAGATTATCTACTATTCCCTTTTTCTTATAATACTTCTACCTTTACAGTTGTGACAATCACAATTAGTCATGATAACAATTACTCACTATTGAATCATAAGACTCTTATCCCCATATTTCCTTTCACCAGACCTGTCTAGACAAGATGAAAACTATTCAGTGGGGGTTCTACCATCACCCACACATCTGAAACTAAACTCCCTCCTGAACACTTATAAGCCAGTCACTTCGTGCCTTTATTTCCCCCTCATTTAAGCAGTCAATGTCTAAGTTGCCTGTCCCTATCAACCCTGTCTACAGAGGGGATAGGATTGATCTTTGATGTGAAGATTCCTTCCCTGTCAGTTGGTATTCTGAGGTACTACATCTGTAAGTATAGGTCAAATTCCTCAAATTGTAGCAATTTACACTTGTTTCCTTTATCAACATTTTTTTTTTAATCTCCCTCTAGGTGAGTTCTGATCATTAAGTCATTGAAGCTAAGTCATATGGGTACTATCTGCATTCTTGTGCATCTCCCCTCACTTCATATCAGCTAGATGCTTCAATCTCAGCTCTAGCCCTCTGTGGCTATGTCCTTGTCCATTGTTTAATCTCTTTTATATCTCAAAAGAGATTGACTATGGGTAGCCCATAAATTAATCTTTCTTCATAACATAACAAAGACAACCCATCCTAAATGAGATTATAACCATAGGCATAGAAGTTAGAATTTACAGCACATATCTGGGAGGGAACAACGACAATGACATAGAATTCAATACATAACAATAGGAAAAAGTTGACCTCATCAAAAAGGATTTCTAACAGCTAGAAAATACTTGGCACAGTTAAACATGTGTCAGTTTTTAGGAAAGCACAGTTAAAAAAAAAAAAAAAAGTGTGATTCAAGTAAGATAACTAAAACTACTCCTAGGAGGTAAATTCTTCTAAATTCTAGCTGTATATCCATTAATAATTGAGCTCTGGTAGCGTAGTGGTT